CCAAGAAATTAAATAATCCCCAAACAAATTACTCAACAATCGAGAAGGAATATTTAGCTTTAATTTTGGCATTGCAACATTTTGAGGTTATCATTAGCTTTGCTCCTTCTCCGGTTGTTGTGTATAATAATCACAACCCCCTTACTGTCATCGACAAGATAAAATATAAAAATCAAGGATTATTAAGGTGGAGTTGGTTTTTGCAAGAGTATAATCTGAACATAAGACACATCAAAGGAAAAGACAGTTTGATTGCAGATGCACTTTCCCGTGTAATATCATTTCTATTTCAATATGTATGTCCCTTAAATCAAAACTACAAATTTTCAAGAAGAACTCAATAATTTCTTTAAAACATGTCCACTAGGGAGCAGAATTAGTCTCACACATGCCCCAATGGTCTCATTTGGATCAGAAATTTCAGATGCTGGATTTAAGAAGGTTAATATACCCTCGCTGCTATCATCTAGAGAGTGACCATAAGTTGCCAAAACCATGCGACAAAGGAATTGTTTCTAGGTAGAGTCGTAATGCATCATCAAATGGAGAATCATTGGTAACTGCATTCATCTCGTTTCTCTGCCAAGTTATAGTAATTGTCCCAAGTGTAAGTCTATTTGAACTTCTGATGCTTCTTTACTGGTGGTAAGATCTCATTAGCATTAGTCTCATTTCCACCTTAGGTGTGTTTCCTTTTGTAGCTCTATTATATATATATATATATATATATATATATATATATATATATATATATATATATATATATATATATATATATATATATATATATATATATATATATACATATATATATATATATATATATATATATATATATATATATATATATATATATATATGCAATAAACTGACGACGAACAGTACGAAACTAGTAACTAACTAGCCTAAGCGCTTTCGACTCTTAATGAGTCTTTTCAAAGGCAAATGCAAAACATATATACGACAAACAAATAAACACAAAAACGTTGTGTTTGTAAACCTCTACATGGCTGTCTCCACATGTGTTAAAACTATAAATACAACCAGCTTGTATAGACTAGTTGCGGAAACTGAAAACGGTGTATAATTCCCTAAAAGTTTACAAGCCAAGGCGACATCTATTTTTACTTTTTGTACATTTATGTAACGCAGATTATATCCCGGATATTTGATTCTATACCGGTTATTCTTATAGCAGAAATTGAAGGATAATAAGAAGATTTTAAAAATGTTAAATTCTACTAGAGCATAGTTTTCATTTTCTAGTCTTCTTGGTTTAGACCGCATGGTTTCAATGTTCTAAGACGGCGTATCCAGTATGATTCCTTTTCCTTCCTAGTTTCGAAACTCCAGCTGTGGTTGTTAGCAATAGCGATAAGTATTATATCACTGAAAGTGTGGCCAGGGGAGGTGAAAGTGTTCTGCGACCGGGCTTCTGTACAGCTTTTTTTTGTCATCCAATCAGATCTATGAAGGTTTATCCTTTTGTGTAGCTTTTTAGTTTCTCCGACGTACTGAAGGCCACAGATCTTACATGTGATGAGATAAATCACATTCTCTGTTTTGACCGTTTTGTTTGGACCATGTATGTTTAGTTTCTCTTTAGTCGCTGTGCTAGTGAATGTCTTGGTCTCTATCATATGTTGACAGGTTTTGCATCTTTTATCGCCACAGGGTCCAGATTGACTAGGTTGGTTTTGACTAGCGATTGGCGTTAGCTTTGCCCTTACTAGGATGTCTTTTAGGTTTTTTGGTCTCCGGTAAGCTACTACAGGTTTGTTCGGAAGTATTAGGTTTAGTATGTCTGACGATTGCACGGTAGGCCAGTGGTTTGCGATGATTTTACCTACTTTGGGATTGTCTGGGTGATAGGTCAGAATAAATGGTATCCTATCAATCTTTTCTTTCTGTCCATATCTGAGTAGGTCATCATGGTTTGTTTGTTTGGCGCTTTGGATTGCCTCCGCAATCAGGTCTTTGTCGTAGCCTCGGTAAATTAAATGTTTAGCAAGCTCTTCAGACCTTTCTAGGAATCTTTCATCGTCGGAGCAAATTCTGCGTATCCTCAGTGCCTGACTATATGGAATGTTCCTAATGCAGTGTTTTGGATGACAGCTGGTTGGGAGGAGATACTGGTGTTTGTCGGTTGGTTTCGAGTAGATGTCTGTGTGTAATTTGTTTTCCACCAGTCTGGTTGTTGTGTCCAGGAAAACATGGTTTGAGTTGGAAATTTCTGCCGTGAATTTTATTGAAGGATGGAAGTTGTTTGCCTTTGATATGAAGTCATCCAGACTTTCTCTTCCATACTGCCACTTCATTTCTATATCATCGATAAAGCGTACCCACTGGTATGGTGTACGCTCAACCGATGCTAAGAGCTGACCCTCAAGTTTTCCCATGAAAATGGCCCTAACTTTTACAAGGTATGGGACCGACTCCTTAGTACAATCAGAGGGCATAAGAACTAACTTTTTGACTAAAATTGATTTGTATTTGAAATGGCACTTGTACATTATCGCACTACTGACTGTTAAGGAAAGAGCGTAAATTGTCTTGACTTACAAAAATTAACTGAAGCTGGTCTAGATGTTTTAAACTAACAACATACTGATTTTAAATCAAATAAGTCACAGTGGTTCCCCCTAATGGTATATATAGTCAACCACAGTGGCTCAATCTAATGGTATATATAGTCAACCACAGTGGCTCAATCTAATGGTATATATAGTCAACCACAGTGGCTCAATCTAATGGTATATATAGTCTGAGCCTTAAGCATAACTGCCTTGTAACAAAAGTAAACTAGTAACTAGATTACATTATTGTAATTACAAGTTGTTAAAGATACTTAATCTACTACACTTAACCAATACTTTATATATTTTTGTATTTATTTGTATATACCTTTGAAAAGTTCACAATGATTTCTAAACGTGTTTGACACAATCCCTGTACCATGACCATGAGGGCTTATGCGCAAGTGTCCTCATTTCTGTGTTGAAGATTAAACATTACCGTTATTATTCATAAAACTTGTGAAATTGGTCATTTATAATCGGAATACGAATTAAACCCTTCTTTCCAAATTCATCAACACAGATGTGAACACATGGGTTCGTTACAAATAAAATTAGGTGCCTAACTTGCAATAATGAAACACATGTTAGGCTCCTAATTAATTTTATTTGTAACGAACTCTTATGGACGTGATTGCATCTGTTTTGGGAAGGAGGGTTTTTGTAATCGCTCACTTCATATAGCTTCATTGCAGATTTGTTGTTTATTTACTTGTCTACGTACTATTAGCAATTTTAGGTATTGATTAAATATTATCTGCTTCACAACTTCTCCCATATTTTCACAAATACGAGTTAAGTCAGGGAGCAAGTTGTTAAAATCGAAGGAGAGGTATAAATTGTATAGGTAGTTCGTGCAAAAAGGCTTTATATGGTGTATTTTTTGAATGTCGTGTTATATATATATATATATATATATATATATATATATATATATATATATATATATATATATATATATATATATATATATGAAGTCTCAAATCAGAAGAGCTCTTTCCAATCTGATTACAGCATCCCGTACCTTCACTTTTGCCAAGCTTCCCAAAAGAATGTAGCCATATCTACACCGTTATCCTTCCCAGAGGATAGATTCCCATATCCTAAGAAATCTGACACATTCGTATACTAGTTTGAATTCATGAGAATCACTACGCAATTCTACATATCAAATATTTAATTACATTCGAACCGCCAATTCTCTCAATAAATTCATAACTCGAAAATCAAAGAATTAAATGGCATAACTATGATATCAGTAAAGTCCTACAAAATGAGTACGATACATGCGTGCATCGTAATATATCATATTGCAACAAACAAATAAAATAGCATATTAAAATTTGGAAACTAAATTTGCGTACCTTACTGCCCTTTTCTCTTTCCAAAAACACAATCCTAGCCTTTAGTTTGTCTTCTTTTCCTAAGACAAGTACTTGGCCCATTTTTGTAATTTCTCCAAGAGCACTATTTTATTAGCGTCTACGGACTCGACTTAGTCTTCTTTTAAGAAAAATCTGACTAAATAAATCTTTCAAGAGACAGTTCCTAAATTGTTTTTCAAAGTGTACGCCCTTAAGTTTCCCTAGCAGTTATCAGAAAAAACTGCTCATAAAATATTCCCTTCAAATAAAGTATCTCTCATCGATTTCACTATCCTAAAAAAAATGCTGCAATTAGCTTCCTTGGAAAAATCGATTTGACTTGATAAGAGTCTGAGTTTTATTACGCATATGCCCTTGTACCATAAAAAATTGATTGGGTCAGCTTCTACTGAAGCTTAGCGTAGTTCCCTTTAAGTTTAGAGATGAGATAAAAAGATATAACTATTGAACTGTCTCCAGACCTTTCTGCTTTGATTATGTTAACTTGAAAGCACAGTTTATTTAACCTTGAGTTTCAACAAGTTTCAAAATTCGACACATCACTTTCATTTTCACATAATTCTTCCAAAAAGGACACAATTTTATTCTGCAAATCACGAGACTACATAAGTCACCTTTGTATGATTCTCCTCGGTGCACTTTATCTATTCTATATTACAAAATTTTAATTTTTAGTTAGCTTCAAATTTGACATTTTGTACGAGGTTCAATTTATATAGATCAACATATATCTATACTTTATTTGCAGGAGGTATCATCAAGTTCAAACACAATTCCGTGAGCATATTTACAAAAGGTTTCACATTTGTATATTTATTTCTATTTATACTCCATCCCTGTTTTAAAGTAGCCTCTATATTATCTCAGCAAACAGGATTTCCTATTCAATTCTGGACACATGGTTGTTTACAGATATAAACTTATAGCCAGTAAAGACGCAAATATCTTATAGTACAATTTTAATCAATATTTTTTTTTATAAATTCACATTGAAAAAGAATAATCACTTTTTCGTAAAGTCCATGCAATTCCGTAGACCGATCCGGTTGCCTAGTGGTTAGAGCGTTTGCCTCAGATCCATGAGGTCGTGGGTTCGAGCCCCAGATGAGTCATACTAAAAGACTTACAAAAATAGTACTAACAGCTGCCTCGCTTGGCGCTTAGCATTAAGAGGTTAGTGTTAGGACTGGTCGTCCTGGTGTCAGGATAATGTGACTGGATGTGACATCATGCTACATGTCAGCAGCATGATGCCTCAGTGCTGGACATCACTATAAGCTGCCACACTGCAGACATCGTAGCAATATGACTCAGTAAAGCTCAATTAAAAATCTAAATTACACACACACGTTATTACATGGTTATGGTTGTAAATTCATTTCTTGGAAGCCAATATATATCACATCTGACAATATGATGCTTATGATCATACTTTTCGTAAGAAAACAACGGTTAGACTTTCTTCGAATTAGTAATACTTCAATAATAATAATAATAATAATAATAATAATAATAATAATAATAATAATAATAATAATAATAATAATAATAATAATAATAATAATAATAATAATAATAATAATAATAATAATAAATATATTTATATTATATATTTACATTTGCTTGCCGACATTTCATTTAAAATTCATATAAAGTTAAATAACAATTTTTTATTTGTAATATTGTTATTCGTTGATTTCCACTTTAATTTCATGTGTGTGTTCCATTTGATCTTTGGATCCTTTCGTTTATTATTTAAATTTTCTGCAAGTATATAATCATGCATATTACTTCTCAGTGATAAAATGAAATTTGTTTCTATAATACGTCCCTGCTATCGTACCTAAGTTTGGCCAATGCCACGATTACAGAGTTGTTCCCCCATAGGTCAACTACCACATGCTGTTTTATTTACATTTACGCGCTTCGATTGACAAAGATTTTGGTTTAAATGAAAACAGAGAGGAAAAGTCATTGAAACTTTACAAATTATCAGTATGCAACAATAGCAAAACAGTTTTAACATGTACCGATAAAAACATTAAGTACTGCTATAAAATAGCGTTCCAGGCTAATGTATATTTTTCAGTCGAAAGTCTCTTTCGTATTAGGTACTTCATGATTAATTTAAATTCATATTCCATCTACAATAAAAATATATCGATCGTTCATAAATTTTAAAAAAGAACACTTCAATTTAAAAAAACAATAACAAAATAGAGCAATCCACAATAGGCTATGGCTTCTCGAATTCATCGTACATCATTACATGACAAGTAATATGAAGGAACCATTGAGGGCATTTATCAAAAAACACTATCATTACATATCTCGCATAAAAATGGCATTCATCAACTGAACTAAATAGTAACATGATGTACACGTCTGAACAAACCTCGCTGAAAAGCGTCTCTCGTTTGAGTTGAAGACGATTTCAATGTTTCTATTTATATTAACTTGAGTGAACAAGCTAATAAATTGAGGGAACGAAATAACAGTTTGAAGGAACGAACAATTATTTTTGAGGGAACAAAATATTAATTTGAAGGAACAAAATATTAATTTCAGGTAATGAATTATTATTTTGAGGAGACGAAATACTAACTTGAGGAAACGAATTATTATTTTGAGGTAACGAAATTTTAATTTTAGGGTACGAAAAGCTAACTCGATGGAACAAATTATTATTTGGAGGGAATTAATAATTAACTTGAGGGAGCAAAATAATAACTTGTCTGAACGAATTACCAATTTGAGGGAATGAAATGTTAATTTGAGGGAATGAATTATTATCTTGAGGGATCGAAGTATTAATATCAGAGAATTAAATATTAATTTCAGGGAACGAATTATTATTTTGAGGGAGCGAAATTCTATTTTGAGGTAACATACTATTATTTTGAGGAAACGAAATATTAATTTTAGTTAACGAAATATTGATTGGAGGGAACGAATTATTTTTTGAGGAAATGAAATGCTAACTTGAGGGAACAAATTATTACTTTGACATAACGAAATCATAATATGAGAGAACGAAATATTAATTTAAGAGAACAAAATGCTTACTCGAGAGAATAAATTATTATTTTGAGGCAACGCAATATTAATTTGAGGGAACGAAATAATTATTTTCATTTCTTGTCCTCTCTGGGGCTACGTACTACACAACTATTACATAGCTAAAATAGACTCTATTTGTTCGAGTGTAATATCATGATCATTATTAACAAAAGTAACAATATTTATTTGGCTCTTGTACTAGATAATTGGAATTTTCCCTTTAATTTTTTGGGCGTACCTGACATAATCCAGGTTATATATTATAATTTAAGTAACATACTGGTTGTGACTAACATTTTATTTTGTAAACATTTCTAAAAGGTTATTTTCCATTGGGCAATTTTTAATAGAAAGTGTAAACTGAGACCTTAGGTCAAGTGGAAAACTGTATAATGTTGTTACTGTAAAAAGTATTCATTTGTGCTTTAACATCTGAGTAAAATTGTGTTTGGATTTGGAATAATTCCAATTACTTCATCTTGAGGAATATAAAAATGCTCTGATAACACTCTCGAAAACAGAGACTTAAATTTATACTGAAAAGGTTAAATAACGATTTCTTCTTGGGTTGTATTATGATCCAGCAAAAGGCTTTTGGCACATCAACTCTATACGAGCCATTACAGGCACATTAACACTTTCAGGTTTGACTTAATTTGGATTCCACTATAGTTTATTCATATCTTTAATTATTGTGTCTGTAATTCTAGAATTATTTGCGATTTAATTCGGAATACCGTAAGTTTCTTACTATATACTTCCACTTTGCATTCAAATATATATAAATAAATAATTTGTTGAATTTTAAAAAAATTGTTGCTTTTCACTCTTTTCTGTCACTTATTTTAAGAACATAGGCTTGTAATATCATTATGTAGCGCATATCACAAAAAGTACACACTGTTCTGCATGAAACGTATTTTCGATGCTCTGTCTCAATAAATTATAAAGTATACGATTAATGCTTGTTCAATTGTAAGATTTTTATGATGTAATTGTATTATAACAATAGCATGTTAGAACCTTACTTAATGGTCATGCAAAACATGACGCAGACTTTAAATGAAACGGTTGATGATGATAATGGTCAGTCAGGTCTTTTAAAGCATGAGAATTGAAATAGCCGTAGGCAAAAAATGCTTATGGCATGGTCTGGTGTTCATGGTTCTTCGTCCGTCTATGAACAAAGTTTTTTAATACTACTAGTACGAATTACTTGCAGAATTGCCATAAAACTCGTCTTACGTACTATTACCCATTACTACTTAGGAAACATTCCTGAAAAAAAGCCAAAACGTTTCATTATAGTTGCTCTTTCAGCGTATGTAATCACAGTTTCCTCTGACCCTTGCCAACCCATTTATTATATTTGGACATTTACGTTGGGGTGTAGGTTGCCAAATTATTTTTCTATCATTTTAAACGTATATGGAGCAAAACCTATCCTTAAAACACAGTGTGTTATTTGAATTTTTAACATAGCTTTAAAAAAATGTAGGTCATATCACTACAATGTTTGCATTGTGTCAGTTTATAGTGCTGTCTTGCACTGGAGCATCATGCCGCAGACATGCACCATGATATCCCATCCAGTCACATTATCCTGACATCAGGCCGACCAGCCCTAACACTAACTCTTCATGCTGAGCGCCTAGTCATGCAGCTGTTAGTACCATTTAAATAAGTCTTTGGTCTGACTCGGCCGGGGTTCGAACATGCTACCTCCTGCATCTAAGAGGGACGCTCTAACTATTAGGCCATGGGTAACGTTACAGTTTGAATTGATGTAATTATGAAACATGGACCATTCTTTCAGCAGGAAGAAATATGGCCACGACACTGCTTGATTTGAAAACCTTGTTATCAGTCAAGATTTATAGGTTACTGTATTTGTATTCATGCGCATATAGCTCATCCCATCATCCTTTTATCTTCATAGCGTGCTGCGCACTCAGGTGTATTAAGTGCGATGAGTGCAATATGAAAGTGTTCAATATCGGGGAATATTGAATGATTCTGACAATGTAAAGTGAACGTGGAAAGAAATGAGCATATAATAATATCAGATTTAACACTCAGCAGGTAGAAAAAAAGAAATGGCTTTATCATGAATTCATGAAAATTCTTTTGGTCCAGAAGTGTCAGCTCCTTGGAAAGACTCTTTCATTAGTGTTGTTGTTGTTGTTGTTGTTTTGTTTTGTTCCTGTTGCTGCTTTTAAATAGAAATCCAGTTTTTCAACAGCCTGAGAAGGTTTTAAGTATTGAAAGCAACAGTGGGAAAGGGGTGGATTGAAGCTGTGTGCTATGTAATTTGATTCTAGACCTTATAACATTAAATGAATTACATTAGTTCTACCTTATAACATTAAATGAATTACATTAGTTCTACCTTATAGCATTATATGCTGCATATTGGCTGTTAGTGTATACAAGCTTATTATTACCTTAGACTAATTTTAAAAAAGAAAGACATATCAGGCTTAATTCAACAGATATTATGAAGTTTTTATTTATTGTAGACCAAAGCAGTTTTTCCACTTCATAACAGATCATTTTGTGATGCAAACCTTTCTATTCTTACATCTCAAATAGTAACTGTTCCTGTGTGGAACCTATGAAGTACTTGATGACCTCAAACCACATGCGTCACCACAATTTGTATTTTTCTTTTGTATTTAGCAAACATGCCCAAATTTGAAACAAATTTAGTCACAATTGTTTTAAATGTCCTAATATATGTTCCTGGAGTAAGTTCTTAAATGATCAATAAATTCAAAATGTGGCTCCACTATACATTATGTAGAATTTTGACATTTGTTATAATTTATTTCTAACCCACATTCTCTGTCATTATTATTATCATTATTAGCATTATATTTTGTTTGTTGATATTATTATTATTTAACAGAGTTTAAAGCAGACAGCAATTGTAAGGATTATTTCCGATTACTTTTTTAAAATACTATATAATTTAAAGATTTGTTTAACGAAGGGGTAGGTGTAGGTAGGAGAAAACTACACTTCTTGAATCAATACAGATTCACAATGATCT